CCTTCGGGATGGTGGCAAGACCAGTGACGATAATCGGAAAATCAAGTCCACACAAACTGAGTAGGACTTGGGATCATTTGCACGATTTTATATATTTTGACCGTTTACTAAATATACCACTTTAAATCCTAGAACGGTCCAGCCAACTTCTTTTTTATTTGGATATGTTGACGAAAGGGTCACCCTTCGTGTTAAAAGGATGCTTTATGCCTGAAAGGGTGCCTAGGTAGGTTAAAATATTTAAAAAAATATGGTTGCATTGTTTCAGGAGGTATGCAGTTAATGCACAGTATTCCAGAAAAAAAGTTTCGTAAAAAATGTTTTGGTACTTTACAAGAACTGCAAAAGCTTTAATAAGTATCCTTTAAGTGTGACTATTCTATTTTTCGCATACAACCGTGTTTGGGTCAGTTGCATGCGATCCCGTGCGACTCCGCGGTACAGATTCGGAGCTGCAGTCTACGGCAGTGCGGAACCCTTCCGACATGTCTCGGAGTTGAGCGAGGTTGGCTGATACCGTAGACTTTTTCTCGGATGTGTGCTACTCGCGGCCGAGCACCATTCAAATGAACTGCTTGCGTGGAACTGGTTCAGCTGGCATTGTGCTTTTCGAGCACGGAATTTCACGTTATAAGTGCAAAGGACAGTCTATCGTCTTTTCTCCTGTGGGGTTTAACGGTTTCACTAGCTATGCGGACAAACAGTATCGCCTCCATCGAACTCACACGGGCATTCTTGAGTACGTCGTATTTCTTCGCGCGAAGATGCTCAATGCTATAAAAGCTATGACATAAGGAAACCAGAAACCAATAATCATCGGTCCTCTAATCCCATTTAGCCATCAAGTAGAGCGTGCGTTATTGTTAGCGCACTTTTACGTAGTTTTTGCGACATTAAGACATCCGTCCTGCTTTCCGCTTAGAGACCAGTTTACACCGGCCCGTTTGCTTATCTGTACGTTATGTTACGAAAGCATAAGTCAGCTTAGTTCTAGAGTCACGACGACATCCGTGCTTTGTATGAAGCGTAGCAACAGATTGAAGCAGCTTTGTACGTAATCTACGAAGCACGGGCGTCTTGTAGGAAAACGTAAGAAGGCACCTTTGTGTGAATGGGCCATTCACAGAGGAGCACTTGCTTTCCACAGGAGCGACCATGTGTGAATGGGCCTCAAGGCTCATTTACCAAGGAGAGTTTCTTTGTGTTTCCTTACGTTACGTAGGAGTCACCGGAGCACCCGTGCCTCGAATCTCCCGTTCAGGTCAAATCTTTTAGTTGGTTGTCACTTTTCATACGCAGCAGAGATATCTTAATGTCTCTCCCAGTTACCCGATGTAAGCTTTCGTTACATAACGCAATTAAGAAAACGATGCTGTGCGATCACCCCCGTAGTTTAAACAATAAGTGAAAAATTGGTAATCTATGAACAAAGAAAAACACGGTGCGCTAAACACTCATGGACTTTTTAAAGTTAAGTTATCGGAGTAGAAATTACGGTGCAATTTTTCTGCATTTCAAGATATCCTAGGCCTGCGTGAAGCTAAAACAGCACCGCAGTTCGGTGTGGCGGTCCAGTTTGTACCGACGAACAAGCAACGCAATCCGGTAGGCGCTATAGGACCGTGATAATGGGCGGAGCGACCGAAAGACACACCCGTCTTTTTTAACCTGTCACAAACTGCGAAGCTTAGTCAATCCAGCCAGGCGGAGAGATGGGACCCTGGGCACCCTACTTGTTCGCCTGCGAATGGGACAACCCAATTTAAACGCTTACTCAATTGTCATCGTAGCGTCACGTACAAGTAAACTTTCGCCACCGGCGATACGCCGAGGGACATCAGCGCAAGTCGCCCTCCATACGCAGCTGACCGCTAAGTTGACAGTACAGCTTTAGCTGGGGGGCTTACCGACCAATACCAACTCCGGGTTTACCGCACGGGGCTACTCCACTTTTGGATGCCTGGCCCCTTTCTTTGTCGTCGCAGTTATGATGTCGAGATGCCGACCCACAATTGACACTGTATAATTCATCTTACACTGTCAAAGTTATCTGTCTGCATCTGCATCATGAGGCACCTGGAAGAGTAGTCATTGATTTTTGTAAATTCAGTTCAACCAATCGATTGGTGGCGTGTTTTAATCGGCATGTTGTGATTGGCAAAAAATAGAGGATCCTTTTTTTTTTTTACCAACGTGACTGTCGTCACCAATGGGGTGGCTAAATTCCTGCCAACCCTTCTCACTAATTCAACCCATTAAAAAGACCAATTATAGGCGTGCCGGGTGCGTCGTAGGGCAGTATGCGTGCATGAGCTTCCGAGAATGCACAGTTTAAGTCTAATCGTTGTTTGTGCGTCACTATAATCACTGTCAATTTAAGAAACGCAGGGTGGAACCTATTATGTTTACACATTTTGCTTTTTGAATTGTTCTTCGGCCTACCTATCAGCTAAAGCCGTAAATTGAGTCGCTGCGAAGTAACACTCAAACCGTCTTAAAGAAAACATTTATACGTTTCATAAACCACTTACAATTATGAAGATGTAATAGAACATTTTGTGCATTATTGCGAGCGACAAACAAGGAAACGTTAAAAATGCTCCGGCTTATTTCGCTAGAGTGATAGTAGGTCGCTTAGACGTCCGTGTTTGTTGTCCAACAGGAGTTATCAAAGATGCTGAGATGAAGACGGCGTGCGTGACGCCTGGAAGCTTATTGTTCCATCGCGTCGGTAGCTTTCACTGCACTGTCCATGATCTGGAGCTAACGTCCGGCCCCTCTTCGGCCTGCTCGGCGAACCGAGGCCAACGTTCGCATCCCAAAGAGGGGCCGGAGGCTAGTGCCTGTGCAGAGAATGCGGTGCACCAGCGCAGCGCCTCTTTCTCCGAACGAGAGCCCTTGGGAAAATAAAAAGGGCCTCGCAATCAAACCGAACGGACACTGGCGTTAGGGCCCCGATAAACGGAGAACAGTGGACTTGCAGAGAAAGTCACGTCTGACCCTAATTAGGTCCGGTCGAAAGCTTCCGTAATCGAGTTTGGTGCGACGCCGCCGGGACTCGCGGTCGGCGCGTGGTTGCGACTGAAGCGTGGGAGTTTCGTTTCAGCTTTAGAATTCTCTGGTAGATGCGCAGCCTGTATTCGTTGAAAAAGAAATAAAATATTTTCGACCTGCCACTTGTTTTGCGAATCGCTAATCCGATTTCAAGATGGCCTTGGATTGACAATGCGGCATCTTTTCAATGTGGTTCCGTTTCTCCCTTCCCAGGCAGTTCCTGCTTTTGTACAGCGATGCGAAATTACAATCACTCGTCACCCATTAATTGATCCCAGTTTTGTAATACACCCCCATTGGTTATGTATCAAGCATGTTTAAAATTGATCACAAATATAAAGGGACATTTTAATCCTGTTTAATCATTACCAACTCGCCCAACTACCCTACCCACCTTTCTATTGTTATATATTTTTCACTGACAAAAACAAAAAGCCTTTGCCTGGGACTGCCCGAATATCGGAGCCCATGATAACTACGGCTTTTATCATTGGTCGACCAAATATTGAGGAGATCAATGAGGGATGTTTATTGGTAAGTAGAGTTTTGATTCGGAAATCACCCACTTGCAAGGATAGCAACAAAAAGGCGCTTTGGTTCAACACACGAGCATTCTCTATGTAGTCGCTGCAAAGTGCGTGTAGACGTCAACTCGAACAAGATTGTCAAGAAAGGGACACGTGGCTTTATTGCAGAACGTTTTATTCACCTACGTTGGCGAAATGACCACTAGAAAAAATCCAAACAACTTATTGTCGTCCAGAATTCTGTTGCCCTGCATCGTAATTTTTGTTTTCGCTACCTCGGTCACATATTTGCATTTAGACGCGTATACGGTGCGACAGGACCAGCAAATATATTTTTCTTTATTCATCGTGACGTCCTTCAGCGCGGACTGCGGCGGCTGCCGGCCTTGAAGGCCGCTATCGGGGGCCGAGCGAGTCCCGTGCCACAAGGCGAAATTACTTTGGGCGCTCCCCCGCCGCGTTAAGTGTCACGTAATTGCGCGCCGTAATTCGATCGAGATCCTTCTTTATTTCGGGCGTTCATCCGTTCAACGCCGACTCCGTCTCGCGGCGTTGGGCCGTTCCCCAAGAACGCTCTATTTGATTGTAGCCTTATTTACAGCCCGGACCGGCAGCTCCCCCTAGCGCGGGCACCTTATATTTTCTTTCCTATTCGGGCACGTGCTCGGGACTAACAAATCAGTTTCGGAATTCCCACGACGCCCCAGAAGAAGTGGCGACGTGGCATGGGGCGAAGGCGGAGAGGAACAGCGTGCTTCGTCGCTGGAACCACAGAGTACTGGCTCCTTTGTAGGCGTTGGGGCCGCATCAGCCCTTCGCCCTTTCGTCCCTGCCTTCCCCACGACGCCCCGGAGGCTCCAGAAAGCTCCCCCCTAGCCGTGTAGTGTCAACATGCTCCCCGAGTTGGCGGAGAACGCTAGTGAAGACAGAGCGAGTGTTGAACCAACCGGACATCAGCCTTGAGCCACGTGACTTTCATGGTCCGCGTTGAAGTATCCAGAGAGCGCATTCACGCGGTCCGGTGCCGGTAGTTGATTGGTTTAGACGACTGAAAGTTTTTAGCAAACCGTCATCCTCACGGGTGAATGTGGTACAGGCTCGGACACATTGAGCACCCTGTTTCCTTCACGGACGTAATGAGCAGAGGAAACAATTGGTTCTTTTGCTTTATTTCTAGACTGTCTTTTTCTTCTACCGTGTCACCCCCCCCCCCCCCCCCCCCCCCCCATGGCTGCCTGTGCGCTTTCTGCATCCGAAATTGCGTGGCCGCTGAATCCCGGGGCGGTGTTGTCGAGGGCGGACGTCCAGACACGCGTAGCTCATTCTCGCGAAGAGAACCGCCCACTCCGAGTGAAACAGCTCCTCCCTTTTTCATCATCAATGGACCCCGTGATCCCGCTGAACCGTTCCGCGGCTTATAAAAGGACTGGGCCGGAGCTGGAGCTCTGCAACCCTGACGGAAGTACTGCGCTTATCCACACGGACTGAATTTCATCGAACCACCTGACAATTTTAAGGTGAGTAAGGCATGTCGAGCTCCCATTCTGCAATCATTGGCGTAGAAACTACCGTAAATGGTTTAACGGGATACCCTATCTTTGTGCCTACTGCGATTACACTACTATAAAAATGAGCACATCGTCCTTGTTACACAATAATTGTAATACAGGTGAGGCGAATTTAGAGTTCAACGTTTTAATATGACTAGGAATGGACCAATCGTTTCTGGTCTTCGATACGAGTATAGACGCCACGATTTTGTGTAATCGTGGATAGAAGGAAAAAGGCACCTTGAGTAGAAAAAGGACCTGAACCAATACCTTGTACCTGCCGTACTTTGTTTAGTCGTTTTTCATGGAAGCAGTGGGAATAACCCCTAACTTCATGGGAAGACGTTCGTCCTGGCAAAGCTGAGTTGCCCCACTATACAGTGCTATCTAAATAAAGCTAACACACTTACCCTCCATAAAACTAAAAATCACGACTGTCTCCCATGGTTGTCATGAACTGCCTGAAACAAGATAATTTGTCCACGATAGGAATTCACTCAAAAGTAAATGGTATAAAAAAAAAAACTGCTTACGTCGGTAGAAATAGTACCACAAGTTCACTCTTTGCCGTTCGCGGTTTCATTGTGTAGAAAATATTGTGGTTCTGCTAAAGAAGTGTACTTTCTTGTCCCTCAGAAGTCCGCAAAATGAATTCCTGGAAAGCCTTCTTTATGTTTGGCACGCTTTTGGTGATGGCGGTCATGATGAACATGGCATGCGCAGCCTACAGGAAGCCACCTTTCAACGGCAGCATATTCGGCAAGAGGTCCAGGGGTGAGCAGTCTATATAGTTGTGTTATTTTCTTATAGTTGGCTCAACTAGGTGACTAAACGTAAGTCTGCACTTAAAAAAAAAAAGGGTTTAGCCTTAGCCCCTTGTCATATAAACGACACCACAAGACTTCAGTTCGACGTACTGATGTCGAACTGACGGCGCCAACGTTTACAAGAGGGTTGTTGACGGTGCGATGTAACATATTAAACAACTAAAGTACGCATCAAAGACTACAGATAACAAACTCTGAAGCTCTGCAGTAGGGCCACGACAACGCCGATTACGTTGTTTATCGTCAGTCACACTTACATTAGCTATTTTAATAAGTTGCACAACTCGGTTATCAGGCCGCTCGTGAAAGTTGGTAGCGTCGGTTTAACGTCGGTGCGCAATACGTCTAACTGAAGTTTTGGGGTGTCGTATATGTGACAAGGGGCGGAAGGTCTCCACCCTTTTTTTTAGTGTGCATTAGCTTGTAGCAGGTGTAGTTATCCTATTGAACGAGATATTGACGGTAAGTCTAAAATGTTGAATCGAAAGAAGATGGCTAATTTTTAATCATATTTTTTACAATCCTTTCTTACTCCAAGCGAAAGTGAGAACACGGATTCAGGAAATAAAACATAAAAAAACAAGCGTCTTGCTCAAAGCATTTCTGGCAGAGGGATAGGCTTTGAAATTGCTAACTCCGCTCCAGAGCGCCGACCGTATAGGCACAACCTCAGCCTTTGTTAAAGCCACAACATCCGGAGAGAGGTACAGAAGATGTTCCACTTAAAGCGAGAGTACCTTTTAATATCAGAATGAAGAAAATGAATCAAAATAATGTAATTGTGACTTATAACTTCAATATCTAATCACGAATCATGCCTGCTGTATCCAGAATATTTCAGCATTTGTGCCTTCATTGGGTTATTCAAGCGCCTACTAAGACTGACAAATAACTATTCCTTTAAACCGCGTAGATCAAATTAACACTAAGATTTTGGTGGTGTTTATAAATAATAAAACATCTGACTCCTCTCATGCAGCTAAGCTGTCGTGTTAAATTAATAATGAAGTAGGTGATAAAAAGATTTGGTCTGTTTGCCGTAACCTCTGCCGCAAGTTCGGTAGATATCCAGTTCCACACGGGAGCTGTTTGTTCGTATCGACGAACCCTACAGCATGTAGATTGTGTTCTCGTTCTGCGGTCGATTGTTTCACTGTGTCCTTTTCCACGTGAACAACTCCTTAGTCGACGTAGGAAGCTTAAGTGAAATTTGGTTACATAGGAAGCCAAAAACATAGACTGTGAAAAACATTGAAAGGTTATATTTCAAAAGCTATTGGTGAGATTTGAGTGAGACGTAACTTTGTAATAGATGTACTCTACCTTGGGGTTAAGCATCAAAGTTCATAGTTAGCTGGGTTCAAGGGACAAAAATAAAAGGTCGCTTGCGTTTTGTGCATGGACTCAACGTATACAAAACATTTATAGGGGGAGCGTACGTTCTTTCGTTGTACGTTCCCTTACAAGAAGGGCAGGGTTGATCGGTCAAAGACGCATTATACTTTAGGAAAATGGTCAAACTCTTCTCTCCTTTATATTAGGGCCGAGATAGGGACGAGAGGTTTTGTCAATACACTTATGGGCAGCAGGGAGTAAAAGGGTGTCGTTCACAAGGATCTTTATCAGTTTAATGCAGTTTCAAGTTGATTTGCTAATTTTGACAGATAATTATCTTGAAGTATCTCAAGATTTAGGAGAGTCATCGTGACAACTTTTATACCTTTTTCTGTTTTTTCTTGTAAGATGCCATTTTTTCCTCTTAACTGATGTTTAATGTCATAAATAGTCTCTGGAGCTGGTAAGGTTGTCATGCCATTGCGAACTCACATTCTACAAATTTTTATTTTTGGGCCTAACCTTACATTTTCGGTTCGTTTATTGTAGAATTTATATTCGTTTCTATAACTTGTGTGTATCAGGTAGCACACACACAGGAAAAAATCCGTCGTATATAACGAAGATCTAGGGCTACAAATAAACGTTGACGTCGTAAGAAGTTGACCGTGCGTGAGCATGAGCCGTCGAATGATCCCCTTCTACGCTGTATTTAAACATAAAAAAACAATCTCTGTTTATTCAAGAGTGACTACTTCACTTAAGTGATTTAAATTCGCATTGGGGGGGGGGGGGGCAACTATATAGGGAGATGCCAAACATTTGTAGTATATACGTAACCCTTGATGAATGAAACAGAATACATACTCAATGGGCTCTCAAAACTTTGAAGATGATTCACTTGTGTAGTATCTCCCAATATATAAAAATTTGAATCAGGCAGCAAACATGTGACAGACGAAGAGATCGTAAATCAAATCCTCAACAACACGTGTTGAATAAACTTGTTTTTTGTTTTCGATTAGAGAAATGATAAAGTGACCTTCTAATAGACACGCATAAATACTTTAGTAAAGGTACCATATTAAGTTCGCGAAGAAACTCGTTTATGTATAAAGAAATCAATTGGTCTGAGCTGAAGATAAAAACATATAACTAAAAAACACGACTTCCCAGGTAGCACAGTTCGTTGGGCCAAATTATGATGTTAGTATGGGAGCGTAAAGCACTAGAAAAAAAAACACGAAGAAGCCGAGGCAGTCACAACTTGACCTTTTTTGCCGGAGTCTGAGCACCTTGGTCCCAGTTTCCGGAACAAGTACCAAAGTTAAGCCTCACTGCAGGTAGTTTGGTCATCATCTGGAATGTTTAGGTCTAAATCGCCAAAACAAGAGTTATTCTTCACTTCCTGTTGTTCAGTTTCCAAACATTCCATGCTGCAGCTTTGGGTCTAAATTTCCAAACAAGTGCGATATCACGGGTGTAGGAAGCTTCTGCATGTGACATTACGGTATCAAAGGTGAAGCCAGAAGTGTGGAGCGACACGCCCCCAACGACGACCAAAACCAGAGCTGTTTTAATCATCGTTGGGGTTGTGTCCTTCCACACTTCTGCCCATCTCTGATGGTGTCATGTCACCCCCAGAAGCTTCCTACCTCCATATATTATGGGTTGCAAGGTGGAGGTATGACTATTTCAGTCACGAAAGTAGGAAGCTTCTGGTGGCGACATGACGCCATCAAAGGTGAAGCCAGAAGTGTGGAGCGACACGCCCTAACGATGGCCAAAACCACAGCTGTTTTGGTCATCGTTGCGGACATGTCCCTCCACACTTCTGGCTTTACCTCTGATGGCGTCATGTCGCCCCCAAACGCTTCCTACCTCCATGTATTATGGACTAGAAGGTGAAGGTGTAACTATTTCAGTCATGAAGGTAGGAAGCTTCTGGTGGCGAAATGACTCCATCAAAGGTGAAGCCAGAAGTGTGGAGGGTCACGTCCGCAACAATGACCAAAACAGCTGTGGTTCTGGCCATCGTTGGGGGAGTAACGCTCCCCACTTGTGGCTTCACCTCTGAGGGCGTCATGTCACCCCCGGAAGATTCCTTTCTCCATGCGCCAAATTTAGGCTTCAGTGCTGGTTTTTAGGCTTGTACGTGGCATCTTTGGCTAAACTCTGGCATTTTGGCAATTATGTGGCGAACGAGAAAAAAGCGATTGAAGCACATCAAAATATGTACTTTGACGCTGACTAACGCCTTGGAGTGAAATCGTATAAAACTCGTGTTACGCCCTTGAATTGCCAAGCTTATGCAAAGTTAGGCGTTTCTTAGGCGTGCTACCTGCTTTTGCGCGGATATTAAAATATATATTTTTTTATTCGTAGACCATAGATAAGGATACTTCTATCAATGTAATGCTACGATAAATAAAACTGCAGTTGGGCAAATCCTTAGATTCGAAAAGCGCGAAAAAAAAATAAAGGACAACTGGAAGAATTTGTCGAAATGATACGCTACTGTCAAGTGAATTTTTATTTAAAAAATTTACATATAAAAATCCCCATGCGGAGCATGCGCTCACATTCAAACGACTCGCAAGTTGAATTCATATTTCTTATGGGATAAAAGGGGAGACAATATGCTGATACATGCTTTATAGCCCTTCACGCTGATCTTAAGAGCCTCGAAGTTTTGTCGATCCGGTTTTGTTTTATTCCTTTCCAATATTTGCGTTCGTCTAGCTCAAGAGAAGATAGGCAGATGGGCACAATTTTTTGGGAAGGCATAAAACAAAAACAAAAAAAAAAAGAAACCTTCGAGGGTTTTGAAATCAGGATGAATGGCGAAAAATTATGTATCAGCACATCTTAAATTCTTTTATAAACAAAAAATGAATTAATCTCGCGAGAAGTTGGATTGTGAGCGAATGGTTCGCTTGGGAGAGTGTATATGCTCGTATTTTCCGAATAAAACTTCAGTTGACAGTAGAGCATAGTTTTGCGCAATTCTATCCTTTTCTCAAATTTCTTTGGCGCTTTTCTAATGTAATACTTTTATTTCGTTCACGTTATACGTCGTTCAGCGCCTCCATAACATTAACGTCAAAATAATAACAAAATAACAAAACTTCGGGAAGAGAAATTAAAGGCGCCATTTTTCATTTTATTCACAAAGAAAACGGGTGGAACGGGGAAAAAACGGGGAACAACTTTGCTTCGGTTTGTTGCTAGTTCGCCCGTTTTTGAACATTTCCGCTGCTCTTGTAAGCGATAACCCCGTTATCGCAAGAGCCTTCGCAGTAGTTTCCTGTTTGCACTTGGGTGCACGACCCCGTCTCTGATCACCGAGTTGGTCAACTACTACATTCGCAGGTCTTGGACTTCAACAATACGTCTCGGTAGAGTTGCTAAAACTTAATACCTTCCATTTGGCTCAGCCTCTGAATATGCAACGCTGAAGCAAAGCAAATTATTGTGTGTATGTTTATACAGCCGGAAGTTAGTCTGCCTTAGTGGGCGTCTGGTGTCTCAGCTGTAGATGAGCAATTTAGCCAGTGTGGTAGGACCGCTAACCTGGGGCCTTTAACGTGCATCACGCAGTAGTGATACACGACCGCACGCCGGTACGATGCTCATCCAGATCGAAACAGGCAGGGGCGGGGATTGAACCCGTTTAACGCTGAAAAGATATGTTCTTCTTGGGAGAGCAGTACATTTGAAACATTTGAATGACGGCCGGTTAGGTTGTCCCTCCTTTCACGTTAAATGTGTCATAGGCTTCCATGACCTGTTCTCCCACTACATACAGCAGCAACAAGATCGTCTGTTTGTTCTTTCTTTTACAGGTCGGTTTTGTTGATATCATAATTTTCAGACGTTGTTTTAAACGTCTCAATATTTAACGATATTTCCTGAAAAGTGGTGCTGGACCAATGCTTTTCGACCCGAATTTCAGAGACGGTTATCGTAATAATGCAGCACCATACGCTCGAAGTAATTTATTTTAAATCATTCAAGAGAAACTCGTGCAAATAAGGTGTGTTTGTGGACAACTTCAAAGCCTCTGGCTACACTAACGGTACTTATTGGTTGTAAAAACTAAAACGATACGGCCTTTGTGGGAACTGTTTTGTTCCTTATAATTCCATCTTGAATGTCACCATCGACATGTAATGATTGATGGTTATGAATTCAAACTCAAATCTATTTTTGGTAGCCTATTACAAGAAAGTATACCCTTCTATGTAACTTTTATAGCATTTATGTTACAAATGTTAATAGTGAAACAAGCTTTGGGATATACTCTGATGATATGTTTGTTTCTAAGCAGCCGCAACCCCTCAGAACCCATGTGCAAAGGTTGTACGTGGCTTTTCGAAGGGCATGCTTGCAGCGCCGCCAACATTTTATTCATAAATGCTACAAAAACAAGTTATTTTGTTCCTTCCAAAATAGTCAATCTTAGGCACAAATTTATTATAAAAATTTGATCAACTAATTTAGAACTTGTCTGCGTAATAAAAAGTCTTTCTGTACTCATCCAGTAACGTATATTCTGAACCAACACCGTTTGGAACGGTGATGCAGAGGCGGTATCGGTTAAGTTACCAACGCAGTTAACATTCTGTGGTTATACGTGGCGCTTCTTCTTACAACCAAAAAAGTAAAGTTAATTTATGATTAGGTTCTTGTGTTTTTGTGGTTTTTTCCTTCGAAATTATGAATGTACTTTTATTTTCGGAGTTTATTTCTTCAGACAGATTCAGTGTATTTCCCTGTCAGCTTTTGGTATCAAACTAGAAATCTGTGTGTATATGTGCACATGTTAGAGAAAGGAGCACAATGGAATTAGATTCCCTAACTGCTAGTAAATGTAGTCGTGTCTGAATACTTGGAAAACTTCCCCGCAAAGATAAGAAAAAAAATAATGAAATAAGAGATGTGGTTTCCGAAGAAGGGAAGCAGCTTAGCGAACCGTTAAATGGGGGCAGTGTCGCGTGTCAACACAAAAAAAAAAAGTTATAGATAGATATGTTCTCTCTCTGAAGCTTGGGGATCTTTTTTCAAATACAAGGGCAGCTCTTAATTAGGGGTTTTCGGTTTGCCCCGATTTCGATTAAACACGGACCCTTACTTAAAACTCTGCGCTATCGCCAGATTAATGCTACTGTGCATTTGTTGGCGTCACAACATTGCGCAGAGTTGGTTTTCTGTTGACACGTTTTTGTCTAGACAGCCGGTATTAAATCGCAGTAGGAGATAACGCGCTTATATAGCAAGGGGTATTTGTCAAGAACGAAGCGGCAAAGGAAATTACCGTACACTCTCGGGAGTTCCTGCAACTATACTGGATATCAACGTACTCGCAATACTTGTCTTTGACTTTTTCATCAGTTTAGCCGACGAAAGACCGCAAGAACCACGCTCGAACGGTCGTCAAGTGTCAGTGATGAAAGATCGTTCGTTTCTTTTGCCATTCTGACTGCATGGACACTTGCGAACTCAACCGAGTGAAGACCAAGGATGGGTGCGGCAAGTGCAAGCCAGTGAAATCTACACTCAGGAACTTCAGAGAGCATACACGTTCGCCAATCGCCGGGTCAAAAGGCGCTGGTAGACATCGGTGTTCAAGAGCGAGTTCAACCAATCGCGACTGATAGAACGTACCGTGGAGAATGCCTTCTCGCACAAAACTAGACGGCGACTCGACCAGCTGCATACAAATGGCATGATATAGTTTGATATAGTCTGGCACTCTCTTTCTCTCTCTCTCTCTCTCTCATCCCTCCGCTCTATAGAGGCGCCGTGGAAGGAAAGGTGTGTGTCTATTCTCAGGTGGGAGTTAGGCGGGTTCTGAATACGCGGTTGCGTTCCGAAACCGCCATGTTTTGGACCCCTTCGCACACCGTTTTACTTTCAGTCCGACTGCAGACGGCGCAACGAACCGTATCCCAGACCCAGTCAACCGGTTTCTTAACAGCATTCTGTCTGGTGGTCCCTCCAGTTTTTTTGAAAACGAAGATTTGATTTGGGTTGATTTCGTGGAGCCAATCAGGCCGCACCAAAAGTGCATCTTGGCGGCGCTCACTGTCTTTGTGTGTTTGCTATGAACGACTAAATCAATCACGCGGGGTGATTGCGTTGAGATCTTGGGCTTTTATGTGTGTGTGTGTGACTGCTTTCGCCCGATATCCAAAAAAACATGAAGACAGCAAGGACCGTGAAGATGCACTTTTGGCGCTGCGTGATGGGCTGAATCAAATTGTAGCATCGGCTGCGGCCGCACTTAGATTAAAACGGAGTAAGAGTCATGGTGTATCCACCTTGTGTTTGCAGCTGCCAAAGAGCGTTCAGCAACAACGATTTCAACAGGACGTCACAGTGGTGGCCTTCCTGGTATTAAGATGAATAAAAAATACTTATCCGAACATTCTTATATACACGTTTTAAAGTGTGTGCGTGTGTCTGTGTAATTTGAGAAAATTAATTCGCGGCGTTAGAGAGCAAGCTTAGCTCACAAAATCTAATTCTCTACGAATATAGGCATAAATGTTCATAGTTTACTGCACGTCACGTCAAGAGAGAGCCTAAGTTTATTACCCCCAAAATATTTGTATAGTGGTTCATGAGAAGTCAGAAGGCTGCAGCGGATACTTCGCAGGAAGGTTTAGTACAGTACTTGCTTATTAAGCTGCATCTATCATTCTCCGAGGAAGCTAGCTCTTGCAGTGAAACGTCGACTACCAGACATATGCTTCAAGAGGTTGGTATCGCAAGATGTTCCTATCAGCATGACTACTTTGGTGATTTGATTCTAACGTGTTTTTTTGAGGACATTACTTTGGCAGCGACTGAAGTGTCAAGAGGGCCTTTAGCATTAATATGTTGGATTTTCTTTTTGGGGGTGTCTTTTTTTAGCAGACCTGAACAACGCAGATGTGAAATACGCAATGTGTGAAGCTGTCTGGGATACGTGTACGCAGTGGTTTCCCATCACCCAGGATGGCGCGCAGTAGCGACAAATAAAGACGTACGTATTCTTATACAATCCTCCCTTTTTACATATGGTATGTCAAGGAGCTCCTGCATGTTTACTAACACGTGATGCGTTCGGAGACCCAATAATTGTAGTTTTTAGTCTGCTGAGCCAACGCAAAAGATGTTCTCTATCATATTCCGTTTGGCCATGCGGTATCGGTGGCAAAACCTTTGGGACCTCTTTGTTACTGAGATGTTATGACCACAGGGGTGCCGTTCGGTTCTCCGATTTCATCCGTTGAACTGTGATGTCGCTGCTCTGTTGCAGGTTGCCCTCCAGTTTGACTTTTCACGAAACTTTAGCGATCATCCCAGATACCACATTAAGTGGGGCCTACGTTGGCCTCACGTGGGAAAAGTGGGCTTCGGCAGCCCCTGCAATACCCCATACATCAACTTGGGGCCCCGCGGACCCCAAGTTGATGCCCAATTCGAACTTCCTGTGCAATACTGCCGCGGATTCGCCTTTGTTATGCGAGGGCAAAGTTAGCGTAGTTTTGGGCATACATAATGACAAATACACAGCGCAAAAGGACTAAAAGAGAAGAGACACACCAGATAGTTTTGGGCAAAGCGAGGGCATGCGACATGGGCTTTCGGCGCGGTACTCCCGTGGATCCCACTTTGGCTACGCGTGTCTAACTTAAGCTACCCGCGCAATGGCCCCGTCGGTCCTACCTCGGCCCTGCAGGGACAGAGGTAGCACTGAGGTCGGCTCCAGGAGAGCACCGCGTGGGAATGCACAACTGGGCAGGCTGTTTGCGTTTATATGGTATCTGAAATGTTACTAACAAGTGCACCAATGTATAGGCTTTGGCTGTTTTTGGGCACTCAAAATAAACAAACAAAGAAACAAACAAACAAACGAACAAACAAACAATGCCCCGCGAGTCCAGCCTCGGCTATGAAGGGGCAGAGTTAGCAAGAGGTGGGCTCCACGAGGGTAACGTGTGGGCATGCTCAACTGGAACTTTATGTGCGATTTCCAAAATTACACAAATTTCCGCTCATATACTAAGATTATTTTGTGCGCGTTCTGGAAATTTAACATAGAGAATCGGTTTAATTTGATGCTAAATTACCGAGGATTTTAATAAAAGGCGTGAGAGCAAAATGTTGGGTTTTCAAAGCTTTATTCCTAACTTACTATTCGGCGTGTATCTAGAGAAAGCCATTTTAGATTGTTGGCGACCTAGCGATCCACAAACTTAGACCAGGTTACCCGCATGTTAAATTGTCTCCCGAGATTTCCACTGCGAGGTGGCGAAGCGCAAACGGTCACGTGAGCGGCGCTCCGCCGCTTATGGAAGACCCCGTGCATACTTCTGCGCCGGCCTTTTATCAGTGACGGAGCGACGCTCGCGTGGCCGAATACTCTTCGCCACCTCGCGGTAGAAATAATGACAGGCGATTTAACACGCGGAAAACCTGTTCGAAGACCGTGGATCACCAGTTTGCCCCTAAGGTTGGGTGGGATAGTTTACTAAGTATATTGAGCTTGAAATTGAATTCTAAACATGCTTATTGAAATGCCGTTATCTGTTCTCAAATGTGGTTCCTGTAGCAGACTCAAACTGGTTATGAATCTCAATCACCTGAGTAACGAAAAAAGAGAAAAAAAATTAAAATACGCAGAGCTTTGTTTCATTTTCTACACTCTAAGAAGTGCCTTCGCGTCCACTTACCCGCAAAGCACTCGAAGAGCCCATCTCTGAGATCTACAAAATCAGCTCGGCGATTGATGAGACAGAACATCCGTTTAGACTTAAAAATGAAGTCTGCGCTGTGGCATTGCGCAATGCCACAGCACGCCACTTGCAGTGCCTAATGCCACAGCGCAGACTTAATTCTGAAGTTTAAACAGATCTTCCGCGTCATCATACGCTGAGCGGCTTTCGTAGATCACAGAGATAGGCCTTTCGAGTGTTTTGCGGGTAAGTAGACGCGCAGGCATTTCTTGGAGTGCAGACTTGAAATGCCCAATTTTCGGTTGTATTGCTCGCGACGTTCTATACATTTTTCAAAGTATAGAAATTTACGTAATGATTAAAATGATGATACCTTCTCAGTAGGCCCAAGAGGAAAGTGAGGCATGCTCAAATTAGGATGAGTTGCAATACCCCGCATCTTAAGAGAATGATGAAATTACTCCGAACAGATAGATGCTCCTTGAGGGACCTCATGTTTGCTGCCCACGTAGGCCCAATGCGGGTCCCATGAGGGAAACCTTTGTGGGCTGTGCACCTAAGCCTCTTGTGGACCCCACGAGGCCCACAGGCCTCGTGGGGCCCACAGGAGGCAGCGGCAGCCAACATGGCCCCACGAGGCCCACAGGCCTCGTCGGCCCATGTGGGCTGCCACTGTAGAACGACCCACTGTGGGTCCCACGAAGGGAGCCAACCTGGGCAGTCCAAGTATGCCCCCTGAGGGCCCCCCGAGGCAGCCCAGATGGACTGTCCACGTGGGCCCCAGTGGGGCCCGACTTGCAAAACCTACGTGGGACCCACGTCGGCCCCCTTTCAAAATCTAGTTGTCGTTACATGTGATGTGTCGGGACGCTGCGGCGACAGTGACTTTCGCGTACTCTTGTACGTTTTGACGAAACATTTAAGACCAACCTCCGGGATCGCGACATCCGATAGCATCACACGCCTGCCCTTGCTACGTAATTTATTCCCACTGCGGGACCACTTTTTCTTTATAGAAGGTGTAGGATGCTAAGCACACTGGAGCAAAATGCGCTTTAGGCACCATAGTGGAACTGACTAAAGCAGCTTCCGCCCTGCTTACTATAGAAGAAACCATTTTTGGCCAATCTTGTGCAGGGAGATATAATACGGAGAACTTTTGGGCGAGAAGAAAGAATAAATGTTGTGGCATGGGGATTGAATTGTTCGAATAATCTTTTATTTTTCCATGTCTCAGGATTTAGATTACGATTTATACTAACCAGCTGGCTTGCATACTTTCGCTTGCTGAACAATCTTGCTTTTTTTATAGTTTGCTTGCTGTGCACTTCTTTAGGTTGTGCTCGGAGCACTGATATGGCTGATATTGCAACTGCTTCGCAGTGCAGTATCGCTGAAAGAGCTTGGGAAGGTATAACCAGACTAAATTGAATAAACGAGCCTCAGTAGCAACCTAAAAGCCCGAAAACGGTACTGCTAAACGCACGTTTCTTTTTCCAGGAAATAGGGCCACATGTTTGGCGTAGAACCATCTCCACTCTTCCCTGACTCCCAGTAGACTCCCTGGAGACGATCGCTCTGTGGCCTCGTGAACCCGCACAGTTCTTCTTGAGAAGCAAGACTTCTCCCTGGAGGCACCTCCATGTCAACAAAACTAGTTAGAATGTAGAGCCAAGGAAATAAAGAAAAAAGCATTTAGTGTGCCTCAGGCTCGTATATTTCAGCTTAGGTGGGCCGCCAATTCTTCCAGATTGAAAATCGATTAAAAAGGCGTGGGTCTAATTTTATGGCAAATTCACGCGTTCAGTTTGAGAATAGAGAGTGAAAGCCATATATGGCGATTTGTGCGAGTAATGGTAGTTAGGGGCCTTTTTAATAGATTGTATACGTCAACAGAAAATACATGCAGTTTATTTGCTGGGTTTTACGCTTAGTTTACATTGAGGGCATTAATTAGTTAATAAGGGGCTAATATAGCAGAAAATTATTGGTCACAGGCTTCAAATACGCGTTTACATTGCCAGACTGCAATTTTATTTCCTTCGATAATCCTCTAATTTTGTACTAAGGGGTAACTCAAGCACTAAGGGTTATTACAAAAGAACTATTGTAACTATCTTAGCTTTTACTACGAACAAAACCGTAGTATGATTTCTTCATAAATACTACAGAAATTCGAATCCTGCTTACAAATTTATATCTCAAGTTCAAATCACAGTCGAGAAACAGTGTTCCTCATCAGACAAGCGACAACATTTGGGCACCGACATAGTTTTTTGTTTCAATGTATCAACAAGTCTGTTTTAAACACTTTTATTTTTGAACTGAAACCTCAGGGTCAGTAAACGAAACTGCGGATGTCCTTGTCGTTATAAATTTGCGCTCAGGCACCCGAGGAAACAAAATGGTTATTTCGAAAACTGACACTGAAATCAGACCCATTCGCAAAACACCCACTGCAGACAGCGGTAGTTCTTTGATCGGATTATTATCCCGACGGCGACAATACAGTATTTTAGGGGGGACTTAGAATCCTAGTGAAAAAAGTCATTTGTATGAGAAATTTCTTGTGTCCAATAAACACATATCAATCATACAAGATATATAAGAACATAAAAGAATTATACACGAACTATATAAGAACTATATAAGATATCTAAGAACCATATATGACACTTGTAAGAAACTATTCACTAGTCTCTTATAAGGTGCATGTATGTTCTTATATATCTGATATAGTCCTTATATAGTTCTTATTTGGTTTTCATATTGTTCTTCTATGTTCTAATATATCTTGTATGATTCATTTGCGTTTATTGGACAACAAATTTCTCATAGAAATGAGAATTTTCAATAGGGAAATTTGCTTTAAAAAAATAAAGAAGCCGGGAAATTTACACTAAAGTGGTTTGTGCAGGTGAGTGTTACGGGAAGGGGGACATAAAATAGAAGGCTAATAGTGGCTATGAGTCGGACAATGAATTAAACCTTGTTAAATAACTGTTCATTTCGTCAAGATACACATATGGTTTAAATTGGAAATTTTCTGAGCGTCAGTGAAAACCACTACGCAAGTAAATTATAGAAAAATTGGAGGCACGTGCGAAGCGCGGTGGTCGGCTAAAGATACCGCTCGTACAACGGGCGTAATGGTGAAAGTGCAGGAACAATGATGATTAAAATCTGAAAAACCTCGTGGGCACGTTTTCGCAACATTTATAGTTTCGCGTCTGTTGGACTAATGGCCATTCTTGTACACTTACCAAAAAGAAAATTGTTCGATTACAATTACAAATATTCTGGTTAAAATATATTGAACTATATCACTCGTATACTTAACAAAAAAAAGTGATTGGCCATTACTTCAAGGATGTAACAGTTTGTTCCCCGATTACTTAAGATCCTCAAAATGCCACATTTTTCTGGCAGTTTAGAAACAGGCCCTGTCTATTATTGGATTATGATCACCGGATAACAACTACTATTATTTTCCTTACTCTACCCTTTTGGTAGACCATTCCCCTGTCAGAGGCTTGGTTAGGGAAACTTCATGGTAGAAAACTAGTGAACATTAAGGGCGCCATTTTTGGAAAAGGGAAGGGAAACACGTCTTTGTATACCAACTTGGGGGCGGAAGATAAGTCACAACGGACGAAGGAACGATGTTCCGGGAGCACAATCTAGGTCACAGTAGATGAAGGGAGCAAACACGATCTAGCTTCGTCGCTCGGAAGAAAGTTTGCACTCGCGTGTGACAGGCCCCAGCAACTGTACGCCAAAGTTGTGCCTATCTCAAATACTCTACTCGAGATACTCTATTTCAAATACTTTTTGAAGTATCTTGGTATCTTGCAAATACTTTTGATCGAGAGTATTTAATACTCTATTTTAAACACATTTCTCAGTATCTTGGTATCTTGCAAATACTTTTGATCGAGAGTATTCAATACTCTCTTTTAAACACATTTCTCAGTATCTTGGTATCTTGCAAATACTTTTGATCGAGAGTATTTAATACTCTATTTTAAACACATTTCTCAGTATCTTGTACTCATTATCTCAAATACATTTTTGACATTCCGCCATCTTCCGAGTTTTTTGGTGTGAAGTGGAGTGGGCGTAACGCGAGCAAACGTGAACATTCTTTCGAGCAACCAAGTCCTATTCCTAGCACCGATTACCTACGGGGACATTTGTTGAAGAACCCCTTTGGTTGAACTCGTAAGAAAAACATTGCTTTTTTGCCAATTGTGACTCATATTTCAGCCCAAAGTTCGTACAATGAAGGTTTTTCCCCGCGCCTCCCCAAAGGCGCTTTTTGTTTCCAAGAGTTTCCCCCACAAAAACCTCAAACAAAAGGGGTGGTTTTAAGGAAGTTAGGATTCAACGCCGCACGGAGACCGGGAAACGACCTACGACAACAATGCAGACTTGAGCTTCAAGAAAACAAATAAAAAAATTAGAAGAGGACCGAAGAAAAATTTTTTTTTTGTTTTGCTTGTATATTTGATCCCCCTACCGCAAAACGTCTGGGCTTCCTTCTGTTTATTTTCTTTTTTCGTCTGTCCATCGCTTAATTCTCTCGTGAACAATGTCTGTAAGCGAACATTGATAAGCGGAGAACAAGACAGGAAACGAACTAAAAGCTGGATGACCTCTCAAAATCCCAACAAAGCTCCCCCAACGCTGAGTGCCTTTCTGAACGCAACCAACTTGTAGAAGGTGCGACCATTGCCGATAGCTTTTATGTGGGTTCTCTTTGTTATTCATTCACTCATATCCGTAATCCCAAGTTCGTTTGTAGTGAACTCCTCATATAGGGAATATGGATTGTAGTTAACCGATGCGTCTAGGGTCCGTCACGAGCCAACGATCGATAAAAACTGGCCAGACGTCAGGACAACTCGATTGTTACCGAGCTGTCCTTTCGTACAGCTCGGTAACAATCGCTTCAATCTTTGTTGTGCGCAAGATTTAGATCGGGTAACGTGGACATTTTGTTGCAATTTTTTTTAGGATTGTTGTTTCTATTTAATCATAAGGTTGGAAACCGAGAGGGCTTGAAAATAGTAATGGCTACAAGTAATTGTACTACTTCTAAACGTAATCAAATCACTTTTGCAAAAACTATCTAATAAAAGTAACCACATGAATACAAAATTACTGGTAATTGTAATCGATTGCAAGTAATTTATATACTTGAATTGAGTACCGTTCATGTCTGTCGGAGATTACGACTGCACTTCCCACGCGGCTCAAATCTTTGAAAAAAATTTTAGTGAGTGGTTTTCAACGATGCTTAGAAAGTTTACGATTGGTAGCATATCTTTATCTTCAAGAATTAGAAAGTTAATTAACGAGTTATAGGTAATTAACCGAAACATTGTGGCGCTTATCCCCCTATAGTATGTCCCCAGATCGCACAACTCCCCCCCAATGACCGCTTAATGTAGCCTTTCACGGTTTTTCAATACAAATTTCTAAAACCAAAGAAACACTAAACCTAGAGAAATTGTTTTTTTTCCTAGCTGGTTAGGACATGCATGTCTCATAAGGACGGGTAGTCGAGAAAAAAAATTGTCTAATATCTAGGCTACAATAGGAACACTTCGATTACTGGGCGAAACCGAAATTGCACCCCCTGCGGAATCATGACGATGACGTTTGTCTCCACGCAGTGTGCACACCGAGGTCAGCGACCTCAGAGCGCACATCAGTTGGGTGCAAACGCTATCATCATGATCCCACAGGGGTGAAATTTTGGATTCGCCCTCAAATAAAAAAAAATCGTATTGGAGGGTAAATATCGGGCAATCAGAGTTTTTTTTTCCGACGAACATTCATTTGAGACATGCCTGTCCTAAACAGACAAAATTCTTTTTTTCAAAAGTCAGCGTTTAGAAGCAGACAAAAAAACGCCCTTTGTGTTTTACACGAGACATTTCATCTTAAAAGGGTTTCAACATCAGCGCTCTGTCTGTTTGCATCTACAAGTTCTTCGTCCGTCTTCGCGCTGGTTTTTAATTTGAGAATGCAGAACCGACTCGCCCGAGTTTTAACGATACTAGAAGAGGGTCTTCGTCAGCTGCAAGTTTGGTGGTGGAGTATTTTGTTCGAAACCAGCGCCACCGTCACCGGCAGCATAACTGAGGAGCGATTGCGGCGCCAGCAGATAAAAACGCCAAACACCGAATGGCACGAACAAACTAGGCCACGCCCAATGTTTCTAAAGCTGTGAGCGGCTGCACGCTCTGAGACGTACTTAAATATGTATAGTTTGCCTCACCTTAAATCCTACCGGAGCCGATGCAACGACGCGACGGAGCCAATGAAGCAGCGCCAAAAGTTCATCGTCACGTCGCTTATCGTCTTTATTTGTCAGCTTGTCAGCTCGCAAAAGGTATAAAGAATGGGCTTTTAAACATGCAGCGTCCCTCGTGACAGGCGGTGGTTTCGTGATCGTACCAAAAATTTACTTGGAGTCAAAGCCCTCATAGCTATTGATTCTGTTTTTCAAAGCCACACTGACATCTCATTAATCAAGATAAATTGTGAATCGAAGAGAATGCCAAGCGCTAGAACTAAAACAGCCTTTCCAACGTTCAACCCCAGTAGAAACCAAAGCCCGGAATTGCTCTACGGCGCAAAAAGACGGAAAGTAGATTGCCCCTTGCGAGTTATCTTTTCTGAAAAGGGAA